TGGCGTGAGCCATTTAAATTAAGGAGCGTGTTCTTAAGTTATGCCTGGTTGTACATATTTTATTTTTAGAAGGTACTGTTTCCTTTTAACTATAAGAAAACATTTCTGTTTCTCTTTTCTGCTAGGCACAATGAATGGTTACTAATTTTATAGTTATTCTATTGCTTGACCCAGTGCTGTAAAGTCACACTTGGAAATGTAAACGTCCAATAGAAGATTCTGTAAAGTAGTTGAATTTTTACAGTTTTCCATATACTTCTTTGGGAAAAATGATTAGATCAAGATTGCTTCAGATTACAAGAAAAATAGGAGCCCAGGCGACGCAACCATCAAGCGCTCAGCTGCTAACTGAAAGGCTGGCAGTCTGAACCCCCTCCATGGTTCCATGGGAGAAAGACCTGGAGATCTGCTCTTGTGGGGATTACAGCCTAGAAAACCCTGTGGGGTGGTTCTACTCTGTCCCATGGGGTTGCTGTGAGTCAAAAATCGACTTAACAGTACCTAATGACAACAACATAAGAAGAGTACAATCCCAATTCAGTCAGGGTTCCGGGGGTGGGCAGATGGTGCCCTCAGGCTTGGGTATTGAGGAGAGCTTACACAGGAGCCACCTACAAAGGTGTGGGGAAGCTCCAGGGATGATGTGGAGCCCCGGGTGGTAACATGGGAGGGGAACAGGTGCTTGTTATTAGAGCTGAGGGACAGCTGTCTCGGGAAGGCCTCCCTCAGGAGCTGTGGCCTTCAACAAGGGTTGTGGCCAACCTGAGGTGACCCAGGAGGGCAAGGAGCCAGGGGGAAACACTCCCTCCCCTCTTCTGCCTCCTCCGGCCTCCACCCTCAGTCCTGGCTGGTGGAGCACCAGCGGCTTTGTGAGTGGACTTCAGTACCGGGCCCCAGCCGAGGCTGAAGGTTCTGATGCCAGATATTTCTTACCTCTGTGGCATACTGATTCAGAAAATAAAAGGCCGACATTATGTCTCATCAATATGCATGCTGCCTCAAAAGCCAAAATCTCCCTGTCCACAGGCACTCTTAGTGAGGAACTCAGTATGTTTTGTCCATCAAGTTTCTCAGCCCTCAAGCAGCCTCCCACACACTGAGTCCAGCACAACTAGACAGCGCCCGGCCACCACCACCAACTGCTCTGACCGGGACCACAACAGAGGGTCCCGGACAGAGCTGGAGAAAAATGTAGAACAAATTCTAACTCACAAAAGAAGACCAGACTTACTGG